CTGCTCCGCTTCTTCCCGTGGCTCCGGACAATCAGCTGGCGCAGCTGGCCGTGCTCCAGCCGCACTCCCACTGCCCAAGGAAAAGGCCGCGGTCACGCGCGCCATTGCAGGCCTTGTCTGCCCGGTGGGGCGGGACAGGCTGGTTGGCATTGGTGGGAAAGGACAGGTGACAGCGGGGGATTGGCCAGGCAGCCGGGGGGGAATTGGGGATTGGCTGGTTGCATGGCCGCAGCCCCTCCCTCCCACCTCCCACACTCACAGGCGGCGATGGCGTCCGGTGTGGCTGTCCAGGGCGGGGGGCGGCGAGCAGGGCTGGGCCTGAGCGGTCACCTGGAGGAGCTCGGTGCCAGCCGGGGACGGGTCGGGGAAGGACTGGGCCGAGCACGAGCCCTCAGCTGATGTGGAGCGCCGGATGGACTCCATCAGCAGGAGCTCGTTGGTCTTCTGCTCCACGGCATCTGGGCGGGAGGAAGCTCTGTCCCACAGGGCCCCTACACCGTGCCCCTGCCCAAACCCACCCCCGGCTGTTGGCTGAGCAGGGGATCCCTTGATTTCCCCCAGGCAGCGCCGCTGAGCAGCCTGTCTCTCCAGGGACAAGGGCCCCAGGCGGGGTGCCACAGCCAGAGCCAAGGGGAGGGCCTGGGGGCCCACCGGGATGATTGTACATCCAGGTCAGCTCCCCAGGCTGCTGGGAATTTGGCACATGAGGGTCACCCATGCATGCCGGGGCGGCGGAAAAAACCCAGCTCGAGTAAAACACAGCGCAAACGGGTGGTGGCCGCCAAAGGACAGCGGCATGTGGCGGGGGAAGGCGCTAAGCTTTGACTCACCGAAAAACTGCATCAGGTCCAGCTCCGTGATCTGCCCGTTTTCTCCAAGCCGCCTCTGTATCTGCGTGGCATCGCCGCCCATTTCTTTGAACAGGGTCTCCATCTCCGATCTCAGCAGGCCCAGGACTCTGCGGCTCTCTTTGCAGCTCTCCTCGTACCGGTTGGCTTCCTCAGTGGTCCCCATCAGTTTTCCCTATCAGCAAAGGTTTTGCTGGGGGTCACACCAGGCCCCTGCTCTCCCCCCACACCCCAGTGCTAGCCAGTTCCAGCCTGGACACTGGAGACATGCCAGGAGAGGCTGTGGGGTGACCCCATCCCCGCAGGGAAAGGCTCTGCGAAGGGGATCCCAAGCTCCCCATGCCGCAGGCGAGGCCCCAGGCGCTGCAGGACCAGGGCTGGCAGGAGCCCTGCCGTCACCCTCTCACCACGCACTGGGAGACAGGGCTGCCAGAGCCGATGCACGGCCCTTTTCTGCCCCTGTCTCCAGCCGCTGGCCAGAGCGGCATTGACAGGACCAGGCTCCCTAGGACACCAGACAGACGGGGCTCTGCTAGCCTGGCAGAGGGAAATCCCGGCCGCCATACCTCCAGCTCCTGCAGGACATGAACGCCACTGCTCTTCACGTTCTCCCGGTCTTTCTTGAGGGACACAATTTCATCCTGGGTAAAGACAAGCACGTGAAGGGGGTACTGGCTGGACACCCGCCAGACGTGCCTCGCGGGGGCTGGGAACCATCCCTCCTCCCCAGGTATCGTGGCTGAGCCCTGTCGGGAGCTGGGACATCCCACCTGACCTCTCTGGGGACCCCTGTCCCCAGGCCAGGAGGGCAGGTGATGACCCCACAACAGGCAGCACTCTTCACTCCAGCCAGGCCCACACACGGCCCAGGCAACTCCTGGCCCTCCTGGATACTGCAGCATTCTTGCTGGATACACGGTGGCAGCATTGAGACACTTTCAGCTCTGAGAGCGCAGCCTTCTGCCTCTTGGAGTTCCACTTTTGGCTACCCCTTTGCATTCCCCTAATCCCACCCCTCTGACAGGCTGTGAGCCGGGCTCTGGTGTGGGCAGTCATGCTGGACACTTGGGAAAAAACCCACCCCAGCCCAAAAGCACCAGCTGAGAAAGGGGAGACATGGGGAGCCTGGGACAGACCTGGAGGTTCTTGATCTTCTCATGCATCTCCTCCATCTCCTTGTTCAGCTCGATGGCGTAGCTGAAGCAGGTAGAATTCTTCCCCTCCTTGTCGATGGAGCTGTTCCCCAGCCGGTCAATGTCCTTGTCCTCCGACTGCTCCAGTGGGCACGTGTAAGCTGCCTCCCAGCTCTCAAATCTCTCCCCCTGTCTCCGCTTGGCCCGCTGGATTGCCTTCAGGGCTGGGGGAGAGACAG